GCGTATACTAACTATTTGATTTTTGTTGTGAGTTGTATACAATATCACTTCTTTTTGAAATTATGTCAAGTCCAAGAGACATACATCTAGTTTTGTATTAAAGTCTTCTGTCAAGAACTACACGAATGTAAATGTTACTGTGGACAAGGTAGCTGAAACATTTGCAAATAGGTGTAATAAATTTAAGAATATTGTATTAGTAAAAGTATCATATACATTTGTCATTGATATCACTGTATTAAATAATGTATTACCTAATTATTTGTAGGGAGTAAATTAGTTAGTAGACTATCTATTAATCGATTTGCAAGGTACATTATGAATATTTCATAATGTAGCTTGTAAATCGATTAATGTATTTAAACCAGACGCTCGTCAAATAATGCAGTTCAAGGCGGAAATGTAGTGAGGGATACATCAGGATTAGAATGTGTGTTACAGAACAAGAAACTGATGACAATAGTTGGAATAACTAGTCAATGTCAACGCACTCGATAAAAGCGCGGGATTAAAAAAGGCGCGAATATGTGCAAGTACTACTGTATAACCAACGACAACACCTATGAAAAACCAGACATAAGCTATATTACAACCAGGCCTACGAAAAAGTCAAACTATGTAAATAATGAATCACTGAATATGATTAGACGAAATCACAGAGGTACAAACTATGTTAGATATTTACGTGGTAAAGGAGTGTAGTTTCCTGATAGGTCTAAACAACGTCATCAGTTACCAAATCAATTATTTTTACTAGTTTTAGTCATACAATTGTTCTCATTTAAACTTGCGCTATTATGCTAATTCAACCTAGGGCAGATGTAGTTCCCACAATATATCTATACTTACACGAGGAGAGCGTGGTTTCGGTGATTTTGTAAAGTAAGAAATAATAGATGTAGAAAGAAATGTGTAGATTTTGAACTTTTTTCTTTTTTCATTGATTTACTGTGTTGATTATGCACCACAGTGCTTTGTACTGTAATTATTTTCTGCCATTATGAAAAATTCATTGCCAATATTTCTTTCAAGGTCCCTTGCATTATTTTGCGTGTACTAATATGTACTAGGTGTACAATGCAGTTGTCTGCTTGCAATTTTGAGCGGAGCTATCATAGTACTGTAATCCAATACTTTTGCAAAGTCAATGCTAAATATAGTTCACGTAATTGAGATGTCTCCTACAAGTCCACTAAGTCAATTGTATAATTGTTTCTCATAAATGGGATGACTACTTGTAGTATCCAAAGTCAATGCTTTATCTGTTTCTCTTAAATGAAATCTCTACTTGCAGTATCTAAAGTTAATGATAAATCTATGCTAAAACTATTGCCTTGGGTGTAGTACGCCAGTGTCACGGTGATAACGGCGGGAGTGGTCGTGGTAGGCACGGATGAGTCGTTGTTCTTGCAAGGCTGTTTTTTGCCTGTCTTCTGGCTCAGTCAGCACTTACACCATCGGGAAGAGATAGTACATCCAAACTAACAAAAATAGGTTCCAAGGACCCATATTAGATTTAATACAATTGGCGGCAAACGTTATTGTTGATTAGTATGTTAAATAACAATAAAACTGTTGTAGGAGTTTGTTCCTAACCGTAGGTGCTCTGTATAATATTTAAATCGCTAAAATTATACCCCAACAATCAACGTTTACAATCGTGATACGTAAACAAATGATCCAATAATATGTAAGCCGAAGGATCGTCGTAAATTAATGTCTTTCGTGTAATACAACAATATGATAATAAACAATGTTACTATATCACTAATAACGTGTACGTAGACCGTCGTAATTAGGCTCAAATTAAAATATAATAATGCAATGTCAGTATTAAACAATCTTAATACTTGTGCGTAACAATATTGCTGTACTACAGAGAAACAAGGGTTTTCGAGTCGCTGTTGAATAATAGGACAACAAGAAATTTAATAATAATACGTTAATGAATACTATTACTATTAAACAGTTTCAATCCCAAATATTTTACGGGCAAGCAAGTCGGTTGTATTATGCAGAAATAAAGCCTATAGTAAAATTATGAACGAGGAAACTCAAATAGTAAACCGCACGATTACCGTTATCAAACAGCTGATTGGGCCCCTCTTATCTCTTGCCCATTCATCCAGAGTACAATTGACGAGCTTAAACAGTGTACAGTACATTTCTTTTTACGTACAGGTCTAGAAGGGTAGGTACAGGTCGACTAGCATTTACAATTCTCACCAAATATTTGGTAAACTGAATGATAACTGAAAGATAACTGAATGCTCTGACATGAAGCAGTGTTCTTCTTTACCTATAAAACAAGGTTGACACCTTTCTTCACTGATCACGTAATGCGTGATTTTCTATAAAGTCTTGGAAAAATAAAAGGAAAAATAGATAGACTACAGGTGTACTGTATGTGGTTTACACACAAATATTCATCAAACTGTGTGATAGTTTGTTATAACAATGAACAGTTTGAGAGTATCGTATTGTTTAAGTCGATGGAAAATCTCTGTTGATCCTGTTTTACAAGCAAACCAAAAAGATACAGTAGTCACCACTCTATGCGACATATTCTAGCCAGAAAATTGTAATCGTATGATTCTATAAGCATTGGTAGGATTGCAAAGTACTACACAAACATTATTTCAAGGGTAATAACAGTCACAATTTCCGCTGACTTTAAAAGAGTCAACTAAACTATTATACTAATGGACACACAACTAAATGGAACAACTAATGGAAATTCTCACGATGTACATTCGTTCGATATAAGCATTGAGTATACACGTCAGTACATACGTGTATACCCAATGATATAAGCAACGGTTCTTGCAATTTATTGCTTATTGTTTTTTAGAGTTGTTTTCGGACTTACTCACACTCGTATAAGGTTTTCCACGTTTGTCATTGATAATGTAGCCATGTTGCTTTGAAATGGCGACCATACAAAATGTATGCATTTTAAGCCAAGTATGAATGGAGATGAGTGTGGGATGAGTGGAGCGATCTTGTTGTCCTGTTTGTGACTAAGGCCGACATAATCCTTAGACACAGCTGTTAATTAATAGTGCATACAGTCAATTAATAGCAGCAGAGGTCAAGTTTGGTATCAAATTAAAGGTTTTATTCATAAAAATACATTGCTGCAAACCCAAACTCAAACGAGGATGATGATAATAACGTTAATGATGTCGCTAAAACGTATCGTTTGAAATTTAACAGCTGAAAATAAGTGAAATAGAAAAGGTTTTGGTTAAATCCATCAAATTGTAATTGGACACTAGTAAATACTAGTGCACTTGTTGCTACCTCCCCCCTTCGGTTTCATGTATTCCTCTCAATCAGTTCAAACCTAGGAGGATTAAACATTAATGTTAATTAATGTTAAATCCTCCTAGATTCAAACCTGAAACACCCAGATCGAAACTCGCCTGTCGTTATTTTACCATCGCCTGTTTTTTAAATATATTTTTCAAAAAAGAAATATTATATTGATTTACTTTGGTTTTTAAAAATGTTAACGTTTTATTTTGCTAAAAACTTATGGTGATACGTAAATATTGTGGTGTAGTAGAGTATATTATATTGTAGTTAAGTGTTAAATTTTGAAATTTTAGGGTGAATCGAGATGAATCTTTGTTTATAACATGGGTCTCTCCTACCTTAACATACATACCAAGTTTGATAAACATCGGTTGGAAAAGTGCAAAGATAAATATTTGTATGTAAAAAATACAAAATGGCGGATATCTGGTTAACGAAATTATTTTGGAAAAAATGTTATCCTTGATTTTCTGTTTATTTTGACCCAAGGAATTACTAGGTAAAGTATCTCCCCGCTTATTTTAACACCCTGTTTATGATGTATTCTTATAAGTGAAAAATGTTAGCTGGTAATAAAGAAAGATGTTTTATAAATAATATGAATGTACTGGTGATCTGTATATTCACCTTTTTCTTGTCCTTAGATAAATTAAATTAGATAAATTAAAAGTCCACTCAGCAGTCGCATCGTGTACGATGTAGTTCTTTCCATGCGTTGCGAAATGCTACATTTGCCGTCCTCTTCAACCCAAGTTATCTACTGAACCACTGATTGTAAAAAATTCAAAAAAATATATTTTACGCATTACACTTTTGGCTACAACTTTGCCACAGACAAAACCTCTCTAACCCAAAAAAAAAAAAAAATCTCGCATGCTAACTTTTTCATGTTAGAAATCACGATTTAAAACTATTTCACCATACAAATCATTTTTTATTAATTAGATCGGTAAATAGTTTAAAGTTCCAACAAAATAGTCATCGAGTAGGACTAACCAAGAAGCTCTGTGCCAAATTTCAAAATTTTAGCACAACTTTAAGAACACCAAAACACGAAATTATTGAAGACATGCGTCGAGAGGACTATCGTTGTTTTTAACAGATTATACTTTTGACCTTCCGGCACTGTTGACTCAGCGAAACTGAACTTATATTTTATCTTATTTCGTTATATTAAAACTGCTGTTGCATTAAGTCAAATTCCCAATAAGTCAATTGCTTTAAAATAGACTAAACTTTTAGCCCGGACTGTACTATTTGACTTTCTGGGATTTTTGATCTACAGACACTGCAAACATTGTAGTTTTTGACCTAGCGGCACAGGTTTAAATTATTTGACCTTCCGGGACTGTTGACTTTCTGCAACGCGTCCCTCCTCACTTGTCATAATTCGGGCACAACGGACTAGAGATGAAAGCACAAGGTTGTCCCATAAGTTTCCTCGGTACCTTAATACTCTATGGTTCTTGGGAGAATTGCTAGTAATGAGAACTGAGATGTCGGTAGCAATACTTCAGTACAAACTAAGCTTAGTTTTTTGGTCCGCAGCATCAGATACTACCATCACCGGATTAGAGTTAAACACCAGAATAGTCATATCAATAAATAATCCTGGATTTCAATAGTTTGAAACCAAGTTGTTGCAACAGGTTTAGTTATAACAGTGTTTTAATCGATTCCAGCTGATAGACCCAGTGTGTACTGCACTCTTTGGCTTCTATCGGTCTAGAGAAGAAGATCTACAGAGATTCACGTTGCTCTTCCTCCCCACCCTTGTCTATGTCTACCTCAATGCCGTCGCTCACAGCGAGAGTAAGGTGGGTACAATAATTTATTTCTAACCTAACCTGTAATACCATTTTATGACAAAAGGTTTGTCGTACCTCCGTCAAATAGTCCAACGATTAAGGATGCCCAGCAACTATTATTGTGTTACCCATTATTGTGGGTCTATATAGATTCATTTCACTACACACAATATATGAGATGGAAATAGATATTTTTAATACGTTAGGCCTATCAAATCAGACCTACCTGTTCTTTTTTCTTTGTGGTTAGTGGTGGCCAGCCAATCCAGATACAGTACATTCCCTCATATTTCAGAGTTGAAAAAAAAATAATGTTAGACTTGAACTGGAGTTTGTCGTTGAGGGTTTGTTCGCTCTTGGTTTTTTAATCAACTTATGAATTTTAAACTCCGCTAAAACGTCCATTTTATCCCTTTATGACAGTAATGAACCGGTTGATCAGGTTGATGGCATTAATATTATTGTTACTGTTAATTTGTTGTCACTACCAAAACCTTATCATCCTATCAAATTACCCGACAAGCGACAAGACACAGTAGGATGCTGTCAAACTCTAGAGGTAGCCATGTTCTATTGCACTGTTTGCAAATTGATGTTTTTCGTGCAGAGTTGTCGAGGAGTGGAAGCGCTGCTGGTCGGTATATACAACTTGGAGGTTGTCAATGAGAAGGGACAGCCGAGGGAAATATCATTCCGTCTGCCCTCCCTCGCACAAGCTTCCATATACCACGAGGTATGTCTAGTAGTCTAGTACCTACTATAGCAGTGTTGGTGTGTTGCACCGTGTCCACCAATACAGTGAAATGTCTGAAAAACTATTTGTAAGGAAAAAGTATGATGAAAACTAGTTTAAAAAATAATTTCAGTTTGGTATGGGTTCGTCATATTTGAATATTATGCTAAATCGAAATGATACATTGAAAACATTAAAATCTTAAGCAACAGTTATTTTTACAAAATGAGAGAAAATGTTAAAATAAACAATCCTCTAATTGGGATGGGACTCGCATCTACCCACCCCCTAATCTAAACAATTAGTATTGCACTGTTTTGCCAATAACTTAATGGTTGATTAGGCATTTTTACTTACAGAAAATAAGGCAGTTGAAGAAAAATTTTGGTTAATTGTGCCAATGTAAATAAACTGTTTAAGTAGTTATTTTTTATAGGAGGAGGTGGGAATTCTTTCAGAAATAGAGTATGAGATTACCTGCTCTTTCATCTCCAAGGGCTCTAGCCTCAAACTGTACTGCACTTTTCTCTGTACAGCAAACTTCTTGGGTCTAGGACTTTAAATTATGCCAATAGAGCTTTCCATGATAGGATACTTAGTGATAGGGCACATTATGAGAATTTTATTGCTTAAAGTTTGGTCTGAACCAAAGAGAAGTAAGGAACAGAGGATACACTCCATGGTACAGTCAAGTGGTGTCTAGCACTAGTGATGGTGTCTAGGGCAAAGTCCATCACCACCCCCCGTCCTCAAGTAATACAAAGCTCACGGTGGAGGAAGACCCTGTAGAGTGTGCGATAGGAATTTCTCATAGGGTTTCCTCTGTACTTTACTTCTCTGTGACTGATCGAGACACTTGACACAGTTCCAGGAGTCATATATGCGGAAAGCAGTTTGGTTATTAGATAGTATTATATGTTTTGATTATAGCCGATGAGTCTTGCCCCGGCCTCACTGACAGAGGCTGCACTACGTAGACTAGAGGAGTGTAACACTAAGCTGGTGAGGTGGGGCCCTCTGCCTCAAATGGACCATCTACTAGCTCAGAACAGACTGGTTGTGATGACCGCGCTGCTCTACGTCTACAATCGCAACCTCAGCATGTTGCCCAAGACCGCTTTAGAGTACTTGTGTAAAGTCACGTCCAAGTAAGTGCTATCATTAGGGGACCGCAAGTCTCCTATATTTGTTAAGTCGGGTTAAACCAATAGTTTAACCTACGAAGATGCTAGACCCATATTTTATGATTTGTCCGAGATTGTGGGCGATAATGATGTCACTGTGATCGGGGGAAAAGTTCACAGGTTTGCTATGACTGCGGGAGACGTCCTCAATTTTACTGTGACTGCAGAAGACGTTCATGGCTTTGGTGTGACAGAATAAGATTTTTACGATTTTGCCTTGACCACAGAAGATGTTCTTGATTTTGGTAGTCCATTTCCTTTTTTTTTTTAAAGATGTTGGCGGCCTCTTTTAACCTTGCATTTGCCCGTCCACATAGACTAAGCGCCCGTGCGTGGATCGTTTATAGCAAAGCAAGGAGTGAGCCGGTACAGTACAAAGGTGAACTGTACTGATAAAATGTTATCGGCAGTGACTAGGATCCGAACCCACGACACTACTGCCTTGGAGCCGAAGTCCGCGACGCTACCGACTGAGCCATCGACTCACTAGATGGTGAGTCGATTTCACTTTTATGGTGGTCACTGCAAATTCTCGTACATGTTCCTGGACAGGGCGAAATTGTGAACACCTTCCACTGTCATGGCAAAATCAAGAACATGTGCAGTCATGGCAATACCAATGTGTACTTCCACGAACATAATCTTTGTACTACAAGAAGGCCTTAAAAGAGAACTAACGGAATGCAGTTAATGAATTACTGCCCAACCAATAGGTTATCGGTGATCATTCAAAATTTCCTGGCTTCATACCAAATTTGCGTACATCTCACAGACACAACATTCTTGTAGGATTTCCAGTTTTTTTCAGCTTCCCGGTTGACTAGACATGCTGGTTAGTATTTCAGAACGTGTAACATAATTTTTGTAACCAAAATACAGTTACTTTTTCTCCCCAACCGGACCAAATGGTGGGACTCTGGTTTAAGTTAAAACTTCAAACATGTTTATCTTTGACTGATGTATAATTTTACGCTGATGTTCTGTGTAGGCTGGTGACGCAGGGGTTCAGCAAGGCTGGCAAGAGAGTTTCATACGGGACTGAGGTACCGAGAGTGTTACCCAGAATCCCAGTGTCTTCCCAGATGCTGCAACAGCTTCTGCACAGTGTCTACTACGCAATGTGAGTGAGTAGGGAGAAAACGGGCCAAAACACTCATTACACCAATGATTGTTTTATCTTTAAACTAGCAGAGTACTCGTCCTTCGTACGGGGTTGGCATATAAGTATAAAATGTTTATTGCAGTTATGCTCATAAGCTTTCTGTTTGCAGTGGGGAAGGACACAGTTTGATAACATTTGCTTCTCTAAATTTAAGGTATATGTATTACACATCTACCATTGCCATAATGTTCTACCACTAATAATAAATTATTAAAAATTCGCAAAATATCACAAATTATTAATGAAATTAAAAACATAAACGAACTGTAATCAATCCTTCTTTGACAGTTCTCATTTTGTATCACAGTTTTTTGTTTCTGCTTAGTTCAAATTATATAAGCTGTTTTCATAAATACAAAAAAATAGTGCTGCACCCTGTTGGTAAATCTTGTAATTTTTTAATGCTTTTGCATATCATAGAACAAACCTTTTTATTTGAAACAGCTGACTAAATTCTTTTATTCCCTTTAAATATGAATACTCATAAGGTTAACATGGGGAACTACAGAGCCATTGGGGCGGAGCCCGAAAGGAGTTTTGAGATAAGAATATGCCTATATGTTAATTGGAAATGTAAGCTATCATTATGCTAAATTTCAGCCCAATCCGTCCAGTAGTTAATGCGTGATTGAACTTCAAACAAACGAACAAACAAACACACAAACTTTCACATTTATAATATTAGTAAGATTGAATTACCAACCTATTAGCAAAATGCTTTATACTTACCTATATACATTTGGTATCAGATACACAGTAAACCTTCTCCTTTAGTAAGCAAAACACATTGGATTACAGGTGTAGTCTGTAGCTCTACGTTTTTTTACAGGGAAAATCATAAAAATTATCATACTTTCTGAACTGAAACTTTTTGAGCTTGGGGATGGTTAAAACGACTTAAGCATTACTAAATTTTCAACCAAGATTTTGGACTCATTTTTGTAGATTGATTTTTTTTGTTTTTATGGGAAAATCACCATTAAAAATAAAAAAGTTTAGAAAATGAAAAATACCTGGATTTACCATGTATTACTCAGTACTCACATACTAAATTTGATCAAAATCTGACCACATGCTTGTAGCTCTGTACATATCCACACTCACAAATAACTTTTTTTGAAAACCATATTTTTCCCTAAAAAAATATCAAAAATTGATAATATACCCAAAACTCCAAGGGCTTCTGTATTTTGTACTGGTAAATTTATACTTGAGTATGTATCTTTTTGATTGGATTTGTTGTTTTTAGCCCATACAGCTAATGGCAACTACGGGACCTACAGTTAAGTGGAATCCGGACCACATTTTTATCTTGGTACCAACAAATTGGTCTAATTATCAGGATAGTACTGCGGATAGTCATAGTATTCACTAGTGCAAACGTTAATCCACACCCAGGAAGTATCGCATCCACAGTGCATGCCTATAAATATCCACAATTCGTGACCTCCTAGTAGCTGGATTACAGGACGACGCCACCGTCCCAGTCTTATAATTTTAACGTCCTACTGATGGTGTTGTTTGCCAGGTACAATGACCACGGTTACATGGCTGTCCAAGCCATAGAAGATATCCACCAGAGAGCGTGTTACCAGTGTTACACGGACGTTCTGTTAGTCACCAACGCCATCAAGAACTCGGCCCATTTCATTCACTCAGGTAACTCAACTTTATCGAAAGCGCGACCAATCAAGATAAACACACAACCAAAACCCTGGAGTTCTGAATGTTCATAAATTGTCTTTAAGGTTGAATTATCTCAGTAAAAATATAGGTTTACGTACCTCGTGTCTTCATTTTCATAATCTTTCAACAAACCTTGCAACTGTTGGTTAGCAAATTGTTGATTTCGCCTTAGGTTAAGGAAACAATGTATGAGTTTCCGGCAGAGGTCGGCATCAACAATTGAATTGGTCGTTACCAGCTGATTAGTTGGCAATCAATGCATTACAGTTGTACTTATTTTCTCTCAATACTTGAACCCCAATGGTTCGTTACTTTACCACGCCTTTGCTGTAAAGTGAGAAAACAATGCGGTAAAGTAAATTCTTTTGATTCTAAAATTTGAATTAAATTTGAATAGGTTAAAAACGTTCGTAAGTAAACAAATAAATGCACTCTTTATTAGAAAATACTTTGAAATGTGTTGCAGGACAACCCAGTGATGCTCCTATGGGTATCAGTTTAGCCATTTCTCCAGCCACTACCACCACTACTGTGTCAAAGTCTATGATCACCAACGCTTCCTTCCGCACCAAGAAACTTCCAGGTCAGTGCATAGTTAACTCGCAAAACTCAACCAAGCAATCAGATACCGTATGATTAGATTGATTGCAATTCCAAAGAATAATTGATCCTTTATTTTTTTTGACATGCCAAACTTAAAAATGGTTGAGGGAAATATTTAAATAGCACAGAGGTTTTTGTAACACTTAAGGAAAGTTTGAATAAGATGTATAAGTCAAGTGAGTAAGTTAGAGTGTGTTTCTAGGCTTACATCTTTCATTTGTCGGCTATCAATTAATGATGCTCTAAATTACCCCCATCGCAGAAAACTTGCAGAATAAGCAAATTTTCATTTGTCTGATTGAATTTAAACTCAAACTGTTCCTGTATTTAGACATTTAGGTATTAACACTTCCCTTAAAAACACTTGATTACCTTTCCTGTAACAAAAACCTAACTCGTTGAACCTAATGTTATTTAAATAGGGAATGATGGTTAGGTTTGAGAAAAAAGGGCTTATTGCCTGAGAATAGGGGAGAGAAAGGATAGGATAAGCAGGCTCACCTTAAGAAATTTAGGCATCCCACTTCATTCACTACTGAACACAAAAGAAAACACAAAACAAACACTGGATATTTCAAGGCCACTGGGTCCTTTCTCAACATGGAGAGTCACATTAGATATTTTTAAGGAAAATATCTAAAAAGGGAATGAATCTGAAATTTTTAAGAAAACATTTAATCAAGTAAAAATCCAATCAGGCAAATGAAAATTTGCGTAGTTTGCAGGTTTGACGTGTTAGAGGTATTTTAACTTTCTTCAAGTAGATTAGCTAGAACAAAATTAAATCTCACCCGTCGTTATTTTTCTCAGATAATTCTCCGAGGAAGAAAATGTTTAGGGGTGATTAGCAAGAGCATCATTCCCAAGCCAAAACATTATCAAGTCCAATGAACTTAATTGTCAAAAAGCTACAAAAAATTTAATTAATTGTCATAAGCTTGAAAATGAAATAAATATCTTACTCTTACAACGGATATTTGTTTGTACATAGTAAAAAACATATCAGGGATACAAATGTTTCTTCAATATTGAAGCAATTCTGCTGCATTATAAAATAGTGAAATGGTTTATGATTTCCAAAATTTTGATGTAAAGCAGAGATAGCACGGCACAGTAGATATTCATTGAGTAAGACACAGTTGATATTCATTTAGGAAAGAATAAAGTCATTTTTAGTAAATTTTATAAAAATTAATCCCTGTTGCAGTTTAAATTCAAAACGGTTTTTAAATACGAAGGGTTTTTAAAATTGTAAGTCTCCCAACGAGCTGTGTAACGTCTTGGCCGAGTGAGCTATTTTAAATCTTTTACCAGTACAGTAGAACCTCTTTAATCCGAACCCCTCATTGCTGTACTCTATACACAGTACAGCAGTTCTTTATTGTATACTGTATTTAATTTACAGTACTGTTTATTCACCATGTTTACTACTGTATTAAATAAACAAACACTGTATTTTACTTTATAAAACATTTTTTCACTTTTCCCAAAATAATGTTGATCAATTTTAGCCATGTTTTAGCTATTGTTATGTAAAAACAACAATATGTTCTGTAATCCGAACTATTCAATAGTCTGAACTACCCCTGGTCCCAATTATTGCGGATTAAAGAGGTTCTACTGTACTGTGTTTTTAACTTCTCCCACTACTACTGCAGCTGTATCCTACCATTACGAAACAACTGGACAAATAGTAGCCGAGGTTAATCAATGCTCTAGCCAAGTATGAATCAAGTTTGTACTTAAATACCTCAAGGAAGAGAACCAACTCCTATTTAAATACTTTGTCAGTTGATGTGGATGGAAATGTTCACAAGGAACACGCTGGACTAGTCGAAAATGCAGTATCTGCAGCCGTTTTAAAGATCGTATCTGCATAGCACTGATCGTATGTACACTGAATTTGAGGCATTTACTATAGTCCTCGCCACCTTAAGTTGAGGCAGTCCAAGGCCGCACGGCGTATATCTAGTGCGGCCTTTGGCTGCCTTAACTTAGGGTGGCGAGGACTATAAGCAAAACTGTCGTTATTACTTACTACTAATCAAAAGAGCAGGATCTCCACTGGATTTGCTGTCTCCTAGCTTAGCAAAATCACATGCTGCAGTTATGCTTAGTAGTATGGCCAACGAATACAACCCCTTTAAGAAGCGCAATGCCTTTGTAAAAAATTTAGCCTGGAAATATTTGAATTTTGGATAGTTAATGCACGGCCGTTAGGTAGACTATCGCGAGTACGTGTCCAAGTCAGCTAACTGAGTGAGAGAGAGTGAGTCAAAGGATTTGCTTAGAGCGAGAGAGAGAGAGATAGAGTAGCGTGGCCACCGCGCGAGCGATGCTAGCAGCGGCCGCACCAAGCTCATTTCGGCAGAAAAATTTCAGTCCGACAGTTTGTATTCGAGTGAAAATTTAAAAACGTACGTTTTCAGGAAACACACTTTGCAAATTTTTTTCCCCTTTTTTCAAAACTTTTATAATTTTTTTGATTTCATTAACATTTGAAGTTTCATAAAATGTCCATGGTAACGCAATATCTTTGGTAGTTTTTTTTTAAAAGAGCATCTTTTGTGGAAAAACACAAAATCCTGTCACGACCATAACAGACGTTTAAATGAATATTAAAAATAGTTAATATTATTTTTATAACTATGTTTTGCTATAAACTAATTTACTTTTATGACCATTATACATTAAAAAGGTCACTGAGCTTTTAGTATATTTGGTCTTTCTAGAAAAAAATAAAAAACTCAAAAAAATTGAAAAAAAGCCAATAATATCTTTTTAAGTTTGTATAACTCCGAAAAAACTTACCTGAGACCCGAAAAATCGTTATGTTTGCATAGAGGCGTGCTTCTTTTGTGTATAAAACATTGAAATATGACGATATTTTAATTTTTGAAATTTTTATGACAGAAATCATAAACGTGATGGTCAGGGACAAGCGGTACGGTCGTGAATTTTATAAAAAAATCTAAATCTTTCTAAACAATCCTTTAATTATGCTGTTAGTTATAATAAAAATATGTGTTTCAATTGAACTAAACTGTTCAAATTACAATTATATTAAAATTATTGTCACGACCAAACACACTATAATCCATAAGGCTGGATAGGTCGTGAAAAAACCCGCGATGGTCGTGAAACTTTGGTCGTGAAATTACGTGTTATTTGGCTCTGTTCTGGCGGTAGCTCTGCACCTCATGTTCGAGGATACAAAGTGGACTTCTAGGTTAATCTAGCAATTGAAATATCTTATAAACAAAAATTAACACCATGTCTACTTCATCGAATGACTATGTACGGTCATGGACACACCAAAATTACAAAAAACACAACCTTTCCTGTATTAATCTTGTAATTCCTCCTTTCAACTCGCAACGACCGGCACTACAATCCTGACGTACACCCCGAACTAGTCTCTAAAACCAACTGACTCCATCAACGCCAAGCTTGCCACTGTCGTGCTCCAAAGTTGAAAAATTTTCCCAAATGGTCGTGACGCCAAATCGAGGGACAGACTTATTATGTCATGGTAGTCAGTTTGCAATGACAATAAAATTATAATATGCTCCTTTTTTGTAAGTTTAATAACCATTGATGACATAAAAATATGGCTTTATATATTTCTGCATGAATAATTAGTCTAAAAACAGCGTGAAAGTTGGAAAATGTACCCTAGGGACACGTCATGGTCGTGAATTTCGAGACTTTAAAAATACGAAAAAAATACCCAGAACCTATTTAAAACCAAATAAATGTGTGTAACATGTTGCCCCCATCCCAAAAAATATTAAAACACATAATAATAAACTACAAATCCAGTAGCTACGAAGTAAAAGGCCAGGGACATGAAAACGTACGTTTTTAAATTTTCACTCATTCATTGATATGGCACTCTATCTACAAATATATAAATACATATGTTACTTAGCATAACTTCCACAAGTAGGACATGTGTTTTTATTATCACATTATTTACTTACTACGTTTGCCTTCATAAGTATTAATAAGACTATTGATTGCCGTACCGATTCGGGTGGCATTTCAATAGGCTTTTCATGGTTTCTTTGAAGAACAATATTGGACTTAATAAATCTGGTCAGAGCCCTAGTAGAGTATTAAAATAAAAAATGACTATGTCCATTAAGCCTGTGGTTATATTGGCTCTACTCATGGAAAAAATCAGCTCAATTGGTAAAGTAGTTTTCACGTTATTGACATACTCTAATCACTCATATCTATAATATTAGTTCCTTCCATCCAAGTCATTGACTTGATCAGTAATGCACTTTCCCAGATATATATATTTCATACCAGGCCTACTAAAAAGTCAAAATAATAAAAACTAACAAAAATTTGACTATGGAGTTTCTGCCATAAACAATTCAAATTAGCCGTTTTCATACATTCAAACAAAAAATTAATAATGCTGCACCCTGTTGATATACCTTGTAACTTTATAATGTTATTGCACATTATAGAACCAACTTGTTTAACTGATACAGCTGTTTGGATTCATTAATTACTTTTAAATGAATGCTCATAAGGTTAACATGGAAAACTCCATAGCCACTTGGGCGAAGCCCCAAAGTCCGATCTTCTACATAAATGTATCTATCGACTGGTAAAAATAAAAGTAAAATAGGACCACAGGGAAAAATTCAGCAATATAGTGAACTTGGAATTGAGTTTTTTCAAAATCCACTTTATGTTACTACGACACTTTTCCTTAGCTAGGCAGAATACTAAACTGGGTCAGTTTGCAAAGTGCCATACATATTTTACACGAGGCAGTCAGCGAGCGTTTATCAGTTTACATTGAAACGGTGATTAAAGTTAGGCAAACTTTGCTTGCGGATAGCTTATTTTAAAAGTTACAGGGCTCAACAATGTCCTTGGTAGTCTTAGAGAAGCCCCATAACAGTTTGGATATCTCTCAAGGATAAAACCCACGAACTGCTGGTAAAATTGCCCTAGTTTGGTCAACTAACTCCACTTCAGTGATCCTAGTGCCAAAATGCATAACTACAAAAGTTGTAATTTGTCGAATATCTGTTTTCCAGATGACATTCCAATCCAGATGGCCAAGGCCGAAGGAGATTCCACAGCTCTCGGAGCGATTACGGAAGAGAAGGAGGAGGGGGTAGGTAGTAAAGGCGAGTCAACTCCCGAGATAGCTCCACGACGCAGCTTACCCAAGATGGCCGTCAACTTCGGCAAGAAGACAAAGGAGAAACTCACCATAAAATCCTCGAGTTCCAATCCCAAGTCTAAACCGTTAGTGAACGGTTCCGGAGACCTCTGCGAAGAAGAGAACGGCGACTTGGCTACGGAGCTGACTCCACTCTCGGGAGAAAACGGAACAGAAATATCAACACCCGTCAACTTGCGCAAGTCTAGCGGATCCACGATCGAAATGGAACCAACGCGATCCATGCAAGTCAGTTCCGTTTAATTTAGTGTTAAATATGCATTACTGTGTCATATGTTTACTTTTGATCAAAAATGTGTATCTAAGTAAAGCAATAAGGTGTTCCAGGCGATTTCCCTTATGATGCATTGTTGCTATTCATTTATGCGCTCTTTAGTAAAATATTTCAACTAAATTATTATTTACCCTTCTCTATTTCTGTAATTAGATTGACTTGTTTAAAACGGGGACAGTTGAAAGGATAGTTTGCATGGGTTTCTAAACTGTGTACATCTTTGTGTAAAAACATCCATTCAGTGGCTTAAAAAAATGCGTAGTAAAAGGGTTTTAAAGCTAACACTACTGTACAAAACATAACAAATATATTTATTGCAACAATTCGTTATGACTCTAAAAATCACACGTCAAATGTCTAAATCACATAATTTGAAGTTTCCTCTTGGCGCTTGGAGATGTTAAAAGACTTTTATCTGTGGGATGTTGATTGGCAACGACCTGAAATCAAGAATAGTAAATGTAATAAACAGTTGCAACGATTGGTTATATTCAGTTCACGCAGCTAACGACTAACGGAAAACTGATTTTATAACTACTGTTACTGTTGGATATGTTACAGTATTAAGGGTATTAACAATAATTTCTTTGTCTATTTTCATGTAAAATGTATATTTAGCTAGGAAAGTGTGAGTTTTAAAAACATTTCCCATGCTTGTTTTTTTTTTACAATGTCATGATTTAAAGAATACTATATAACTAATAAATATTTTATTAAATCAATCAAGTCAAACCAATTAGTAATTACAGCAGACTCGAGATTATCCAAGGTAACTTAGCCATATGTACACAGGAATCTCTGTATACAGTGCATCTCAGTTAACAATGTTTATGACGGAATTGGCACACGGAAGGGACTAAGGCTAAAGGTGTAGTGACGTCATATCTCTAGTGGCTAATGTATTCTCTTGAGGCAACACGAATACCGTAACGAATCGTTGTGATTTCAGCGGCGTTCGTGGCATAGTTGGTAGTGTTACGGATTGATGTTCAGGAGCAGGGTGTCTACCAACCGGGAAATCCGGGAAAACCGGGAATTGTACTTAATTTTAGACTGGCCATGAAATGTACGGGAATTGTCCTTAAATATCAGACTATGTCCTTAAATAATTTTTGAGCCGGTGAGTGTTTTTCAACTGTTAAATAAAGCCGTGAGTTAGGTTTGTTCATCTTTATTTACCCTGTGTTCATCTTTATTTACCCTGTGTTCAACTGAATTTCACTTCCCAATTGTTATTTCAACTAAGTTTAGTTTGGAAAATGATGTTGTAACTGATATGACGCTGCCGTTGCATCGTCTGCTTCGTGTATGTTGGCCAATAGTCAATATTATTGCCGTCGTCGTCATAGACTAGAGGCAGTGAAGCAGACGTCATCTTCACAATCACAAGTTCACATTGAATGCTGCAGTTATAAGGTAAGTGAAACTAGGACGTTGTATTTATTATAAATCTTATAATAAGAATTACACAGAAATACCTACTTGATAAATTCTATTTTTGTTCATAATTGGATTGCTTAATAATAATAATGATACGATTTATCGACTTTCTTTTTTAAGTAAAGCTATTAATCATACTCATCAAGTACCATAGTTCTTATCCTTGCAGATGAAGACAATTGTATTTGTTAGTTTCGTCCTAGTGCGCTGGGATCGTGTTTTTTACAGTTTCTTGTTAATTCATTTAAAACCTTGTTTAACCAAGGAAACATCTAATCATATATAATAAATCGTCCCCTAGTTCACATTAAAGCACCAATCATAAAATTAACCCTAATATGATAGATGCATGGCTAGTTCGATACTAGCGCCCGGTTTCACCAACATGAACCATAAACGAAAAACTAACCTCAAATTTAACAATGGGATGGGAAGTCTGAGTTGGTTAGTCTGGTAAAATGAAAATGAAAGGCAATTTTTCAAAACTAAGAAGCTAACTTGCAACGTGAAATTTAGAAAGATAAGCTGAAATCAAAAAAGTGCAATACTTGAACGAACAAGTAGGCTATTAGTATTCGTGGGAAGATCAACTAGCTGGTAAAAAAAAACGGAATTTCAATTTTGTTCGAGTATGGAATAAAACGTCTTTTCTAAGCTTAATGAACAAGATTTTAGGTCAAATATTGTGAATTGTGACTGTGGATACGTTAATTTAGAATTATTAAAGTTAATCTACAACTGAGGAACTTTGCATGAAATGAGGTGTGGTGTGACATGTTACATCTCAATCGGACTAGACTAGGTTAGTTGGAAGATAGTGTGGAGTGGACTAAACTTAAGTAAAAATAGTGCTTCTGTCCGTGTCCTGTGAGTTTGAGTTTGAAAACAAGAACACTAAACTTATGCAGTTCATGTTCATGTAGTAAAGAAACGGTGGTGCAATACGTTAACAAAAAGTGAGTGAGTCAAACTTGTTTAGTATATATTCTTCAAATTTAAGTTATTAGGTGTAGGCATTGCAAAATTGTGGAAAGGTTGCAGATAGGGACAATTCCTTGCCTTGGGCATGACATAGGTTAACCTACGTAATTAGTATGTGTGAGCTTGTAGGGCTACAACTTAATATGACAATAATGTTTGGTAATCAAATAAACGGATGGACCATTGTCCTAAAAGGCAATGAAAAAATGCATGTGAAGGGAGGACAGAGGTGGAATTAAACTGATTTATGATCATATTAGGCTAAGTTTAATGGTATCTCGAAGACTTTCTGCTAACAGTTAAGTTAAATGATATCAGGGTGTTGAGTTAGAATAGGATAAAGGCTATTTCAGTTGTAGGACAATTTAGCTTAGGCCTATTATGATTTCGTTAAGTACGGTTGGTTAGGCTTACATATAACTTAATTGATCACTATCATTACAATTACATCAATCAAAAGTAAGTGAGTCTAATAAATAACTGTATTTGATATTTGATCATTTTGTTGACATACAATGCGTTTTGATTTAGTTTTTTGTGTCAACCAAAGGTTGCTGCTATGTTTGTTTAGACAATTTCCAGGAATGGTTAAACATAGGCTACTATTCCTAAGCTTAATTTTAATGTAGTTGAATCAGATTGTAGCTGGTGGAGTTGCTCAGTAGCCTATCATATTATTTTAACCTTCAATTTATATCTGCCTATATTGACAAAGGTTAATGCCATAAAACAGCTAGGAGTAAGCCTAGGTTTATCTAATTATGTAATCTCTTTATGTAAGTCTAGGTGCAATTTAACAATAAATTTAACAATGAATTTAATATGCCTAAAAGCTAAACTGATATAAACTACTCACTTAATCGAAAAGTAATAGACTAACTTCTTTTTATCATTCAGTTTTCCCAACATTAATTTATTTTCACAAATGTGATAACACTCATTTTTGGGTGCTGGATCATATACCAAAGTAGGCTTACCTAACTTGTGGTACTTTTTCTTTTTAGGAAACCATGAAGCGTTCAAGAGGAAGGTGCAAGTATCAAAAAGACTGGGAGGAAGTATATTCATGGCTGCAACCAGCAAAAGATGATGTATATTCTGCTAAATGTATTATTTGCTCCACCACTTTCACCATTGAAAGCATGGGTAAAACTGCTGTGAAAAGCCACTCATTAGGCAAAAAACACATGAGATTAGAATCAGATGCTAAAAAATCAATGCCTATGGACATCTTTATAAGGCCTAACACTCCATCAGTAGAAGTTATGCCAAGTACATCAAGGCCTACTGAACCCATTTCAACAGCGTCAACTTCCGCCTCCACAATAACTACCCCTCCAGTTCCTACCACCAAAATTATTAGGCCTACATCAAAAATTGATTCATATCTCCATCACAATGATGTCACAAAGGCTGAAATTCTTTGGGCCTGCCAAACAGTCATGACACACAGCTCGCTTAGAGCTGCTGCTAACTATACTAGACTTTTTCCGTACATGTTTCATGATAGTGAGATCGCTAAAAAGATTAAATTACAAAAAGACAAACTGTCCTACATGATAGTTTATGGTCTTGCTCCTTATTTTAAGGGTACACTTGAAGCAGTTATGAAAGCTTCAGAATATTTAGTTTTAGGTTTCGATGAAAGTCTAAACAAAATATCCAATAAACAACAAATGGATTTGGGGGTACGATTTTGGAATCAAGAAGAAAACAGGGTTTGCACTCGTTATTTAACATCAGCGTTTTTAAGTAACACAACTAGTGAAGACTTACTAGAGGCTATTAGAACCAACGTAAACGAAGAGTTTATGGGGAAAATTATACAGCTATCAATGGACGGACCGAATGTTAATTTTAAACTTAAAAGAATTTTTCAAGAAGGAATACAATGTTCGCCTGATTCAGTACAACTTTTAGATTTAGGATCTTGTGGTCTGCACACCTTACATAATTCTTTCAAAACTGGGTTTCAAAAGAGCGATTGGGAACTCATAAGCTTTTTTAGAGCAGTTTCTAACTTATTTTACAAATCCCCTGGGAGACGAGGCGAATTTACCAGAATTACAGGCTCATCGTTGTTTCCTTTTACAGTATGCTCAGTACGTTGGATAGAAAATGGAAAGGTTGCTAGAAGAGTGAAAGATATGTTACCAAACCTACAGAAATATGTAAGTGAAGTGAAGGGAACTGCAAAAGAACCATCTTGTTCCAGTTTTTCAATTATTTGTAAACATCTAGAAGACAAACTGCTAATGGCCAAGATCGCGTTTTTTGAAAGCCTTTGTGACGAAATAGAGCCGTTTTTAACCGAATTTCAGTCTGACAAACCTTTGTCACCATTTTTGTATGGCCAACTATCTTTTGTGTTGAAAAATATTGCGGCAAAGATTGTTAAGCCAGATATAATTGAAGGTAGCGACATAACCAAGATTGATGTCTTCAAAAAGAATGCGGAAAATATTTTTGAGAATCTTTTGCCTGTTAAAGAAATTGAACTAGGGTATGGTACTCGCGCTGCACTTCGACTTTGTCCAACACGTTCAGATAAAGCTCTTTTGCAGTTCCGCAAAGAATGTCGAAAAATCTTAATGCATTTTGTAGCTAAGTTGTTGGAAAAGAGCCCACTTAAATACCCTTTAACAAAAGCGGTAACTTGTTTAAATCCCTCTTTAATCTCCAAAGGAGACACTATGGAAGCCTTAAAGAGTTCTTTGAATGCTTTGTTGCAGGCCAACATAGTGTCTCCCAGACATTGTGAACTGGCGGACAGGGAATATAAACAGCTTTTATCCTCGCCAGATGTATTAAGTGAATGTAATTCTTTTAATAGGCACGAAACACGTTTGGATGATTTCTGGTTCAATTTGATTGGCAGAAAAGAAGAATACATTCATTTATTCAAAGTTGTTAAAGTCCTGCTTTCGCTCTCTCACGGCAATGCTAATGTAGAAAGAGGATTCTCTGTAAATAAAGAAATAATAGTTGAAAATCTTAAAGAAAGCAGCTTAATTGCTCAAAGGATAATATATGACTCATTGGTACTAGCAGGAAATGTAGAAAATTTAAATATTGAACCAAAATTAATACATGCTGTTAGAAACTCAAGTGCCAAGTATAAGGAAGCTTTAGCATTGATGAAGACTGAAAAAGAAAGAACTACCCAAGCTGAAGATGAAAAGAAAAAAGCTAAGCTAAAACTCAAAG